AGTTGAAATTTGATAAGAATACATAAGGTGCGTATAACACACTCAGCATTACGTAGATTTCCTTTTGGGTGTCGTTAATGCACAATATCTGAAGAAGAAAATCGAAAACACAGAGGTTGCCAAAACTTAATATATGCGCTTTTGTAGAGAATTACAAGAAAAGAATTGTTGTCATTCATTGAAAAACGCGACGGAGATAAAATGAAAATTAGTGCGAGGGCCATTTAATATGTGCCACTCGTTCGATTTTAATACCAGACAGCTGTCAGTTCTTTCTTCCTTGCGATATTATCTTTCGCGTAGGTTGGTATTTACAACGATTGCTCCTCTTTCTCCTTGCCAAATATTGGAAGTTCGTTGAGGAGTAGAATAGAATCACGTCATGGAGGCAAAGATAATAAGAAAAAGGGCATTTTTTGCGCTTCTTTTCTCTTGCATTCTTTTTTTTCTGTTCTGTACAGAGTACGGTGAGGTACAGGCGACCATACTATTTTCTTTTTGCTTTCTCTCACTGTGTTTTTCCACAGTAGTTGTTATTGTCAATACTGAGTCTCGAAATGGCGATGGCAGAGAGGGTAAAAACTTTTCATTTCAGAGACGGAGCGCACGACATCAATCTACGTTTGTTCGTTGTCGAGTTTTTTCTTGATTAAAAAAAATATTTGCGATGAATAATCAGCAATGCTAGAGGATGGCTTGTCCATTTTTCTGATTTTTCAGACTAACTGTTGGTCCCTTCGACAAATATTCAATGTCAGGTGAATATGTTCGTACACGCAAGAGAAAAGTACTGAGATACCATTGGATGAAAACTTCGTCTTCGATTCAGCTAAAATTCGATTCATAGCACTGCGATTGTTTTGATCAGATATTTGTTTACCTGTCGCTGATCGTGTATTCGACGTCTACTAGTTCCTGTTTCGTCTAAGTAGTGAAATTGCAATGTTCGATAGTGTCGATTTCCACAGTAGTTTTGCACATTCGTTCACATGTTTCATTGCCATTTTGTAGATGTTAACTTGTGGTATAAGTTTGCTCCCAAGACCTTTGACTGATATTACTTATGAATCTAATCATGATGAATACACAAATAAGTTACTAGTTACGTCATGTACCACTCCTATTTTTCGCTCCTTCATTACCTGAGATCATACTTCATCTTATTTACTTTGTGATTCGAGAATGACTCATGTTTGACAACAATCATGTTTTAAATTCGAATAGAACAAATATTTTTAGTGTAATCATATGCTGATGTTGAAAGCGAGAGTCTCGCAGAAGAAGCATGAGAAGAGATTTGCCATGAACGAATCAGCAATATCAAAATGAAAAGCTTGTCAGCGCAGCTCCTTTGGGGCTAGGGATGCAACAAATCTTGAATAGATTTGGGATTTGGCACCAAATCTTTGAGATTTGGACTTGGATTTGGATTTAGTGTCTGGATTTGGGTATGGTTCGGATTTAGTTCCTAGATGTGGATTTCGTCTAGATTTGAATTTCAGGATTGCTGCTATCGCTTTGTTTGGCTGAGATTTGGGATTCAGAACTGGTGATATGCTTGAAATTTGGGATTTGAACTTGGATTTGGGTTTGGATCTTAGATTTGGATTTGCACTTGGGATTTGGTTTCAATCTAACATGACTCCAACTTTGTAGTCTTGTTAAATTGAAACCAAATCTCAACCTCCAAATCCAAATCTCAAATCCAAATCCTACCCAGATCCTAACTTGCTATACATCAAATCCAAATCTAAGATCCAAATCCAAATCCCAAAATCCAAATCTATACCAAATCCAATCAATTTCATATTAATTTATAAGACTTGGGATTCTTTTCTCTCTTCTGGAACTTTATTTTACAAAGCCTCGTCATATTTGGGTAATTTAAGACCAAACCCAAACCCAAATCCAAATCCAAATCCCACTCTAGAACAAACCCAAATCTTTTTGTACCAAATCCCAAGGCTTTGGGTTTGTTGCACTCCTATCTGGGGCTAAAATGTGGAACTCACATATTGTTATAGTGTAAGAGCTATTTTATTGTAAACTTTTTAAAATATTATTGCTCTAGTTTTATAGATATACGTTTGCAGCAAAGCTTCAGGTGAACTAGAACGATTGCAAAGTAGAGTAATCAATTTCTATATCGCGCCGGTCGGTAACCAAGGACAACTGCCTGTAAAGGAAAAATTTTAAAAATAATTTCTGTTCGAAATAGGAATATAAAGAACGCAGATAATTTCTTCGACGATGGATTCTTTTTGGAAAGCATATTCTAATTTTAAAACCAAATGAATATAAAGACCCAAACCTATTTCATNCGGTAAAATACCTTTTTTTTTACAGTGTATACTAGATATTGTAACATTAAATGATCATCGATATCGGTGATCTTGTTCCTCCGATCATTTACGTTAGACACTCGATAGTGGGTAACGTTTTCTTCACTTCTTTTCTTCTATACCTCTGAACCTTTGTATTATGCCTCTATAGATTTATATTGTACCTCTATAGAGGTATGAGTATTTTGAAGTTGCCGCAAGTGCAAATTCGTCAGTGATTCGATAAAACGATTACCTGTTGCAATGTAAACGCCACTATTCCATTTTACATTTTTTGTTCATGACGGACAGTGAATTTTCGTTACAAGGATCATCACATATTGACTTAGTACAACTGACAATGTTAGAACCTTAACAAATTGATGTGTATAGAAGTTTATTTGTGAAGAAAACACACACTTTTACATAGAAAATCGCAAGTATTTATAATACTTAGAGGTTAAGTGAATATGGATTATTCCAATAGATGATATAATACAGTTGAAAAAATACCTGAGTTATTACATCAAAGAAAGAAGATAGTAAGGGAAAAAAGCAAGAGACAATACTGGGGAAAATACCTAACAGAACGAAAGAAATAGATAGATATAGATGACATCATGTATATGTAAGGAAAGAAAGAAAGAGAGCGAACACATGGATAATTCCTTCAATACAATTTCTGTTCTATGGCATGTCGTTAGTACATGACATAACAGAAAGGCTAAGAGTCAAGTGCTAGCTTCAACACAAGCACGAATACTTTCATCATTTTATTACTTGCACATTCAAGTGAGTCTTCCTGTGATATTTCTTGTGTGATAAAAATTTGTTGAGAAACTATTGCATATCGGCTTAAATATGACACTGCTGTTATCGTTAAGCGGGCTCTGTCTTCACTAAAATATTAGAAAACTATACTTCATAGTTGGTGGATACCGTTCTTCTAGCGACTTCCACTCCATCATGCAAGTCTAAGGACATGCGGATATATATAAACGCTCATCAATTGTCCAAGAAAAAACGAGACAGATAAGTGAGCAACTTGATGAAGCAGTTAAATCCTCTTCTTACTCATGTCACCGTCGATGAGCAACTTCTTTCAGCTGCGGAATTCGTTGAAATAGATAACGAGATTCCGATTTTTGATGAGTAGGATGGAAAGACAGGCGGTGTGACCATTGTCGATAACGAACCCAGTGGTAAAAACTAAAACTAAAACGAAGATGATGAGGATGTGACAATAATCGAAAAACCACTGAAGCTTCTCGAAGTGATGGAAATCGTTTGACGATTGTGCACTCTTGCACCTATTCGTCATCCTCACCAGTTTTCTCTCGTCTTTCAGCTAGACTCAACGTATTCAATTACGTAGACTCCAAAGAACAAAAACAGACTTGGATGGGTGATTATTTCAGCAAAAATTGAGAACATAATAGTCTTTCAAATAAAAGAATGAACTTTGCGCTTCGCTTTGACTAGTAAAAGGCACAGATAGTATTTGAAGCGATCAGACTAGTTAAAGCGGCCATACTAAATACCAACATGTTTGAAATGCACACAATCTCTAATTGATGAACACCTCTTAATAGTAAAAGATTTTGGAAGGTCTTAACAGCGTTCACTATACGGAGGTCTTCCGGGGTTATTCGTATATCACTCTTAATTGTCTGCGATTCATTCGCTGACAGACGTTCGTTCATTATGTGCGCATCTGCAGATTGACAAACTCTAACAACATTGCTATGGGTGCACTTTTGTTTTCTGCCTGGTCAGGCTTAACTGTGCCACATCTATCTAGATAGAAATTCACTTCCTGTCGCACTGTTTTTGAAGCAGGGGACTTGGTTTTGAAACAAGCATCTTAAAGAGCTAGATTTTTATAAGTGATATAGTTGACAAACACAATTTAGAAATGTTTAGATTCGATCTAAGAAAAAAAACCAATGGCTCAGAGAGCAATGCTTTACCAGAATAGTCATTGGGCACATATCTTGAAAGAGGTTTATTGCTGTCTGAACGAATAGTTTCATAAACCGTGGATCGGCCAAGGGGGAAAAAGCGAATTTGGAATTTTGAGAGTTTTTCAGATTTTTTGCGATTTTGGGATTTTTTTGGATTTTTCGGGATTTTACGGATTTTTTTGGATTCAAATCCAAAAAAATCCGCCTTTTTCCCCTTGCTTGCTTTTGAGACATCGTTTAAAACTGAAATCAAAAATTATATTGCATAAAAGCACGCGGCACGAACAACTTTGAAGCGCAAAATGAATTCTTCTACATTTATGCGTGCTTAGTCACGATATACAGTTGCTCTTCACTTTGAGATGCAGAAATCGAAAAATCAATAAACTTGCCTAGTCGCACGTTGCTATGCCTATAATTCTTCTTCTCATATAGAACCGCACGAAATAACTTCTACTTCTTCGTAGGAGTGAAATTGAAAAATATGAACGGAGCCCAATGTGAAAGTTCGACCGCATTCAACCACATACGCCCAGGATCATGTTCATTAGACGATTCATCATTTAAGCTAAGTGGCACTCTTGAAGCCTTTATACTAGTTTATTTGGACGAAAATTTACATAATCGAGATCTTCAACTCGACACTTCGGAGAACCTAAAGTCAATTATAACATGTGTTCAGACATTTGACGATGGGATCAAGTGCCTTTCGTATATGAAATGCATTAAATATGAACAAATATTCTTGGTTGTATCAGGCAAGCTTGGTAAATTCGTTACTCAATTCCTACACACACTACCTCAGTTGGCATGGATATACATTTTTTGCTTAAACATACTTGAGAATGAGGAATGGTCAAAGAACTATTCAAAAATACGTGGCGTTTATGCTGACCGGAGTTCTTTGTTGACAAAATTAGCTCGAGATGTTGAACAAGGCTATATAAACCTTCCATCAACAGCTATATTTTCAACGCCGAACAGTAATATTGAAACATCAATTGAAAATTTAAATAAATGCAACGGACGTTTTATATTTTATCAGTTATTACCTGAAGTAATGCTCCGTACTCGTACACGAAATGTCAAAGACGCCAAAGATGATTTTGTTGTATTGGCGCGTTTCTGCTACAAGGACGAAAAGAAACAATTAGACACGATTCATGAATTTGAGGAGACATATGAATCAGCACAGGCCATTAATTGGTACACGAAAAATAGTTTTGTTTATCGTATTGTCAATAAAGCGATTCGTGTGGCCAACTTCAATACTCTGTGGAAATGTCGATTTTTCATTGCCGATCTTCATGAACAGTTACAAGCAATACAATTTAATGAAGGAAGAAATGAGCTAATCACAGTTTATCGTGGTCAAATGATATCGAAGGATGAGTTAAACTATATCAACAACCATATTGGGTCCTATATTATGTTCAAGACATTTATTTCTACCACAGCTTCACGGGAAGTAGCTGAAAGATTTGCTGGAAATGGTGAAGACAGACCACTGAAAGAATCAGTTCTATTCGAAATGAAAATTGATGGAAAGTACACAGCAAATCCTCTGAGTCCTGTTGGTACGTATACACAATTTCCAGATGAAGAAGAAACGTTATTGTCAATGGGTAACGCTTTTCGAATAGAATCAGTTCAAATAACAGGTAACTGTCTATGGACTATTCGGCTGGAAATAGTGAGCAATGTCCTAAATTCCCCAATAGTGTTTCTACGAAAGTACATGGGCGAACCGACCACCTTGCTCCAGTTAAAAAAATTCGTTTTAGAACCTGGCTTCTATTTTATTAACGATGACTCTAGCAAGGTGGAACAGCTGATCAGCACGCTCGATTTAAGATCATTTGATAAGGCTTGCTTCCATGTTACTATTGGTCATTTTCAATTGAATTATGAACAAAAATTGCTGTATTATCATAAGGCCATTAATTCACTTCAACAAGGCCACCCGTTAATTCCGTTGATGCTAAACAGTATTGCAGCTATTTATTATCGCAACTCTAATTATGATGTTGCACTTACTTATTATGAAATGGCTTATGCAACTAATGAGAGATCACTTTTATCAAGTGATAAATTAATACAAATGATTGGAAATCTGCAAAAGCCACCAAATGAGTTTTTAAAATTTAAAAATTATGAACTGCGTTCGGCAGCTTTGAATCATTTATCATCTGGTGAAGAAATTACTATCTCTACTACAGGTCATAACGATTCCTGCAATCAGTTCTGTATACCTCGTTGTTGGAAATTTCACTTAGGGCTTCAATTAGAAGAACAGCTGATAGCCTATGCGCGAATCACTGATTCGTCCTCGGAAAAGGAGAAGAATCGTGAGAATGTCTGTAAACTATTTAAACAGATTGCTGATTTATATGCACAAGAAGAGAATTATACAACAGCCATAACCACTCTTCAGAGATTGATCCACTTCATGGGCCCACCAACAGAATCGCCGCATCCAACAACGATACAGACCACAGCAACCATACCACCATCTACGCGAATTCCTATAAAAGACGAAAAAATGTTACATGCTTCGTCTAACACTATAGGAAGTTATGTGACAATGAAGGATTCTAGTGAGTATTATCTCTCCTTGAGCTGAAGACATAATAAATTATAAAGATTTTTCGTTGGTTGCAGACGTTTAGCTGTCCTAAATGTTTTGGTGTAATAAGCACGAAATCCAATAAGGGTCTCCACATTCCACATCACTTCAATGCTTTCATACGATGGATACGGGTAGGTCCGTCCATAGTACATAATGGGACTGACCCCTGTTCGGCACGACCAGGTTCGAGGCGGGACCGGGACTGGCAACGGAGAAAGCGGACCCGATGCTGCTGTTAGCTGAAAATAGACCACAGTTTTTTTTTGTATCCCTCTATTCAAGAAACGCTCACATAAAGAAAAGTGATAATCACAAGTAAATGAGCTTATGAATAGTGGACAAATACAAAATACACTCCAACGATTTGCAGCATTCAATAGAGAAGCCATTACACAATAGTTGAAGTTAGTAGCTATTGATTTGCTATAGCAATCACAAGAAGAAGAAAGAAACGATTCGAAAGTTATTCACAATTTTCGAGATAACTTTGCGGGATCAAGACCAAACGCTATTTGACCGGACAGGACTGGGCGAAACCGTGACTCGATTTTCAGAAGAGTACAGAACATTGATTGAGACCGGACCCAAAAAAACCCAATATAGTATTCACTACTCGTCATTCATTTTTCTTTTGCAGACATACCAAAATTAATGGAGGAGTCTGTCAATGCATTGTTTCATGCTATTGATGTGAATGACATATCGATCCTCGATCGGTTTGAGAAAAAAGATCTGGAAAAGCTATGTAATGTTAGTCGACTATTCCACTCAGACTGGTCGGATCCTGATGAAGAGCTCCAGACACCTTTTCAACGAGCTTGTTTACTTGGTCGTTTGAAATTTGTTCAACGGATGCTTGAAGCTGGAGTACCTGCTAATCAATATAATCAATATTTCGGTTGTACATCTCGTTCAACGATGCGTGGTGCTTTCATGTTTGCTTGTCAGTCACAACATATTGCAGTTATTCGTCTACTTATTGTCTACGGAGCTAATAAAAACAGTTGTGGTTCATGCTCCACAAAATACGCAGATCGCACCTTAAATATACGTGAAT